CACACAGGGACAGAATTAAATAGTGGCTCACCACTCACCTTGTGCTACTGTTGACATGACCACGGATGGTGTGGAAGACACCACGGCTGTTACTGCTACTGTACTAGAAATAGGTGATGGCGTAGAACTGCTGTTGCCACTGCTGCTGCTGCTGCTGACCAGAGAGGACTGTGGTGCAGTTATAACAACAGGTGGCTTCTGAGTTGTGGAAGCAATGACTGATGTTGGTACAAGCTTAGTGACTGCTGCATAGTTATGGGATTTGGAGAGAATGTTGGGCACAAAGGTTGAACTTGGTGATGTGGTCACTATAATAACCTAGAGGAGGAAAAATAAGTTATTTTCATGTACCTACTATATACTATCAGTGTATTTAAACTTACATACAATTTAAACCTAAGTTTTGCAATAGAAAAAACAATTCAACAGAGAGAAATATACAGTTAATTAAAAGCATATGAACACTTTTCTTTACCAGCAATTATCAAAACTACTTAAAAACACCAATTTTCAGCAAGTATTTTAAGAGGCAGTGTTCAATGTTGTGCATGATGTGGTTCTGTAAACATCACAATACACCACACACCATTTAGGGGATAAATCCACACCATCACATGAGAAAGTAATCTGGAGATGTGTTCACTTGCAAATACTTATTGAGCATCTACTATGTGCCAGGCATGGTTCTAGATGCTAAGGATAGAAGAATGAACAAAACTTACTTGCATGGAGTTTACATTCTAGTGCAGAGAAACAAAAAATACATGACATGTGGAAACAAATGGAAAAGACAATAAACCAGGGTAAAGAAAAAAAGAATGATTAGTGTTGATTTTTTTTTTTAAATAAAGTATTCAGTGAAGATCTCTCTGTAAGATGACATCTGAGCAGAAATCAGAATGAGGTCAGGGTATGAACCATGTGCTACTAACACTTAGAAGGGCACTTAGTGGCATGAGGAGTAGGAAACTAAGGCCCCAAGACAAAAGCAAGCTTTGGATGCTCAAGAAGCTTTAAAGATCTAACCGACAGATTGGCATTTATGAGGCACACAACTATTGAGAAGTAATGGAGGACTAGAAAATGTAAAGTCATGATAGTTCTTGTCCATCTCTGTGATCTTCCCCCATAAAATTCACAACCCTAATCCAACAAGGAGAAAAACATCAAGCAAACTCTAGGAGGGAGCATCTTACTAAAACACCTGACCTGTCAAAGTTATAAAAAAAAAAAAACAAAAAAAAAAAAAACAGGAAAGCCTGAGAAACTTTGACAGTGAGAGGTATTTAAGGAGACAAAACAGGTAAATTGAATGTGGCATCCTGGGTGGGAATCCTGGAACAGAAAAGGACAGTAGGTAAACCCAAAGAAATTCAAATAAACTATGGACTTAAGTTAATATTAATAATGCATTATTACTATTAATTAAAACAATGCATCATACTAATGAAAATTATTAACAGGGAAAGAGATGTAAAGTATGCAACGTTTATAAATTTTCTGTAAACCTAAAACTGCTAAAAATTGAATCTATTTTTGAAGAGTATCTATCTGCTAGATGGGAGCTACAGCAGGGTGGTGACAGCAGATAGAGACAAATTAAGAAGTTCTTACAAACCAGCAGAAATGGCAGTGACCAACATGTTGGTGGGAGCTGTTAGCTACACCTTATAGGTAAACTAGCAGGATGTGCTCCTAGCTGGGTACAGAAAACAGATATAAAGAGAGAGAAGTCAAGGTTTAGCCAGTAAGGCTGAGAAACCATAGACTTAGCAACAGTGCATTTCACAGAGTAGAGCACTGAATAAAAGAGCCATGGCCAGAATCACCCAATGTGTTGAAAAAAGAAAGAAAAGCAGTGCAGAAAGCCTACAGCCAAGAGGGTTAAAAGCAGAAGCTGGATCAAATATGAAAGCCAGACTAAAGTACCTGGATTTCATATTAAGAAATGGAATGATTTTTAAGCACAGAAACAAGATGTGAATCTATTTAAGAAGATCATTCTAGTTGCCCCGAAGTGAGGGGCAAGAGTAGAAGTTACTACAGCAGGCCAGAAAAGAAGTGACATCAGATTCTTGGGCTGGAATGTTAGCACAAAGAAAGGTGAGTGATCCGATTCAAATTACTGTGCCAAGTAGAGAAACTAAAACCTGTGGACGAATGACAACAGCAGGCTTCCTAGAGCAGAATCCAGAAAAGCTCCAAGAGCTGATACAGACATGATCTTACTTAATTGTCCCCAAACCCCATGACACAGATACTATTATTATCCCCATTTCACAGTGAAGAACACAAAAATGACTTATACTTTGGTAGTATGCATCACAGTTTTATTCTGGGGTGAGTAAGCAGTGCTATAGTGATACCCAGTTCTTTGACTAAAATTATTTGTGCCTACCTAGGAGAGAACAAATTGTTTTGAAAAAAATCCAAAGAAATTATGGAAGATATTCTTTTTCAGTTTTACATTGGTCCTAAAGAAAGTCTGAAGTTATATCAGTCAAAAATTTTCTGAGTGAGTTTGTACATGGTATCTACATCAAGGAAACATCACTATACCACTACTACACATTTTCAGTACAACAAAGAATTTAAGACATTAGTACTAGTCTATTACTTAAAGGAGTCTGTTGTTTTAGCAATCAAGACATGTCTTAACCAGCAGACATTTGTAGAAAGTTGGTCAGTATAATCACAAGCAGGCTGGATTAGCAAACAATATGCAATATTATTGAAAACGACCAAGAAACTATTATACAAACTGAGAAGTGGACCAGTACAGCAATAAGGTCATAAGCCTGAGAACCAAATGAGCCTGCACTTAGATCATCTTGTCTGCCACTTTCAAATGATAGGCCCCTAGACATGTTAAAATCTTAAGGCTCCAATTTATTTTTTCTATAAAATAGGGATAATAATTCCAACCCTACAAAATCATTATAAGGATTAGATGATATAATCTTGTGAAGCATCTACTAGGCACATAGCAGGTGGTCAATATTTGATAATTAACAAATGGTACTTCCTAGAAGCTTACTATTCCTATTTAATGTTAGATGGATATGAATAAAGCATTACAGATCACTTCTATCCAGAAATCATATTGAATATACTGTGTTTGTTTCATTAGAAACATTTTCTTTCCTTCCCTGTCTAATTCTGATATCCCTGAGTATACAAAGAATTCATAGTTCCCAGACCCAAACTAATTAGACACTAATGGCAACTGGGTTTCACTTTTGTCAATCCTGAACCACTAGTCACAGCTTTCAAGAGATACAATGCTGATGACTGCGGTACAAAAGAGGATTCACCAGGCTTGGCAGGAAAGTATGCCATAGGTAATTAGCAATGTTGGGCATGGAAGGGCAAGTGTGCACAGTTCAAGTATTTGAAATTTCAGAATGAAAGCAGGATTCTAACATTAAGAAAAGAATAAATCTAGGGTCTTTAGGAGAACACTTTAGATTACAGATACAAATGATAAAACATAGTTGGAGATTTCAGTACACAAATGATTTCTGATCTGTAAAGAGGCTTCCCAAACTAGAGTTCCACCCTGGAGAAATCACTTACACTTTAAAGCTGCTTATTACAACAGGGGAGATTAAAAGGTTTTGAAGCCAAATGAACCACACAGTGTTTATTCAGGCCATAATTCAAATTACTGACCTTCTAGCACTCACAAAAACTCCTTAAGAGTGCTGGGACTTGCACCCTAAGGACAAAATGAAAAATATCAATCAAGCACATGAAAGCATAAAGCTATATTCTGTTGCTCTGTCTGTATTAGTGCTGCATCAATGCTGTTTTAAATGAGGCATATTAACATACGTGGAAATGTATCTATGCTGAAAATGCACAACCTATTTAAATGTGAATACCGTTTACAAAATCAGAAACAATTACACTTAATGTAAAGTCACTTTACCTATAATAATTAATTGCTAAGTTGACAAATACAAATTGTGAGAAATCCAAGGTAAATACAATTATGATAACAGCCTTGGATAAAAATATATTTTAAATCCAATTACCCAGAAAATGGAAAACAAAACAAAACATGGAAAGTGTATTTATTAGTCCTAACCATACTCTAGTTGTCCAAAAATCTTTAAAAATAGATGGCAGAGAAGGAATGAAGTAAGAGAACAGTTTTACAACTGGAACACAGTAGATGCTCAGTAATTATTTGTGGAACAAATGAGTTATTTTTTTATTTAATTTGCCTTAAATGTTTATTTTTTTAAACACAAGTCAATCTAAATTTCTGAATCTGAAAATTCATGATATGGCCTATATATGACTTTGGAAATAAATGTGCCTTCTTAAAAGCATGAGTCTAACAACTTCAAATATTCACTCTCACTTCAAAATTCTGAAGATAAAAACAAGAGTCAATAAGGAAAAAGAAAAAAGAAAATGAAAACAAAGCATTCAGACTCCACTTACAGGGAACCCCATCTGTTACAAACCTTTTTTATGTAAATCTACCAAAGAAGATCTAGAAAATTAATGATGGTAGGTTACATTTATTAAACACTCTTTGTATGGACTATAATTATTTTCAGTGAATAATCTCATCGAATTCTCCTGGTAACTCTTAAGAAGTACTATTATTACTTTTATCTTAAAAGGAAACAGGTTCAAGCAGTTAGCAAAGGGCCAGTGACACAGCTCTGTGGGAAAGTGCATGCCTAAAATGACCAGAGAGTACTGGAGTCAGATCTAGTTATGTGTGTATTGATTTGTTCATTTATTAATTCATTCATTCATTCAACAAATATTAACTTGCATCTAGTATATGCCAAGGCGTTGTTCTAAATACTAGGGAACAGAGTCATGAATAAAACAGAGCTCTAAGCTACCCTCAGCAGTCTATGGGAGAGATAGAAAATAAACTTGTCATTTATAACATCAACTACTTAACAAACAATGAATAAAAATGAAACACACACTAGGAAAAGAATACAGAAAGAGATGTAGGTACTCTTTTAGTTATGGCTTTCCTATCCTATTTTTTAAATACTAAAATCATTTTTAAGTAGATGAAAAAAGAAGAAGATTAAAAAAGCCGTAAGATCCAGCAACGAAGGCAGTAAAAACATTACAGTAAGATTTAATAACCTGAAGCATAGTCATATAATAGTCAGTTGGTGTCAAGGCCAGCTCAGAAAGCATAATTAAGAGCTAAGGATGATACAGCTCAGTAGTAGAGTACTTGTCCAGTAGATACAAGACCCTGGGTTCCAACACACACACACACACACACACACACACACACACACACACAATAACCATAACACTGTGTAAAAAGTGGCATTCAGAAATGCTTACTTGAAATCAAGTAAAAATGCAAACATTATGTTCAATAAACACTGAAATCATCAAAAACAGCTAATTTCAACAGATTAGTGGATAAGGTTTAGTGAACCAGTGGATTCATATATTTATAACAGTACATTATTACCAGCAAATTAGTGAAATGTTGACTTTCAAAAACACTCTGCATGTTCTAGGTACATGCTCTATGTCACATCTTAAATACTCAATCTCACGTAACCCTTATAAAAATCTATTGATTTGGCATTACTCTTGTTTGTCCCTGAGATTAGAAAAGACTCAGAAACACTTATTATCTCAGATACCACAGCACCCTTCCACCATTTACTCCAAAGTGCTTGCACCCAAGTTTATAATACTCAAAGCAGGAAACTGGAAGGTTCTTGCCTGATGAATCTAACCACCCTAAGACAAGTGGCAGAGGAACAGAATAATTAACGTATCAGTTTCTTATGTAAGCTGACTGCCAGACACTTAAGGAAATTCTGAAAAGAAAAACATCAAGTAATAAAATGAACTAACAAGTAAGATAAAAAGCATGAAAAAAGAAAACCAAACCAAAAGACTTATGAATATAATCAAATAAAATACAATCATCCTACCAAAAAGCAGGATGTTTTTTTTAAAGAGAAAAACAAGGAACATCTACAGAAGAAGGAAGAATTATTAGAAGTTTAAAGTATGATGGTTGTCAAGTGTATTAATGCATGCCTGTGATCCTTAGCACTCAGGCATTCAAGATCAGCCAAGGCTACATAGTAAGTCGCAGGCCAGACTGAACTAAATAGTGAGATCATTTCACCAAGAAAAATAAAGTATGATGGCAAAAGTGAACAATTCCATGCAAGTAATATAGGATACTGATCAAGGGTATAGAAAATGACGATACACATTTACATATTAGGCTCTCTTCTAACAGCTTTACATATATTACGTATTATACCCAAAGACCTTATAGAAACACTGGGCTTTTTTTCCTCTATTTCACAGAGAAAATCTGGGTACAAAGTTTAGTTTCCCCACAGTCAAAAAGCTAGTGGCAAGCTGGAATTAAAATCAAGAAAGTCTAGTTCCAAAACCCATACCCCAAGCCACTATGCTACAGTTGGAGGGTAGGGAGAGCATGGCAAATAGGAACGAATAGTATGAGGAAAATTATGAGATCCACTCAGAAAGTTCTAAACTCTCAATATGAGATCCACAAGGGAAATGTACATCAAAGAGTGAACCCAAGAACTGATGAGACCTGAAGGCATGAGTGGACAGGATAAAAACTCTAACGACACAATCTAAGGGTCCTGAAGTCTTTGCTGTTTCAGTATTCTAAAGAGTTCCCAAAGACAAAACTAGAAGCTAAAAACCAGAATGGCACCGGGTATCCCAAAAATAATACTAGAAGCTGGAAACCAAGTGAAGAATGTCTTCAAAACTCACAGGGAAAAAATTTCCTTCGTCCACCCAGGGTCTCAAAAACCTTCTCAGCAACTAATACACTGGGAAGCTACTAAAGGACATGCTTTAGCAAAATAAACTAATAAAAAGGGAAGGATAGAAAGATGCTAAAAAGGAAACTCCAGAAACACAGGTTTAAACACAGGTGTAAAATAAGCCTCAGGTCATCAGAATCCAGACTAATGTGAAGACTTAGAATTGCAAGAACATGAAATTGACAGAATACCAGTAACTTGAGGTCAGAAATGAATGCATAACAGCATACAAGGAATAAAAAGGAAAATAACAGTTGTTGACTTACCTATACCCCTTCTTTTTCCTAAGAAACACTTAACTCTACTGGCAAAGCAAAAGCTGACTTCCTACACATAAGACCACATAAACAAAGACTTTAAAACTTTTCTAGTTCGTTCCAAAATGGCATTACAATTACCAAATACAACATAAGTCCAGAAGCACATCTGCTAATTGTCACCTTGAGCAAACCATTTGGCACCTAAGCCTCATCTTTAAAATGTGAATAATACCTATCTCCAATGTTTTATGTGCAGAACTGAACAAGAGGTGTGAGCATTCCCAGCATAATGCCAAGTGCACAGTAAGCACTCAATACATGACCATCAATTCTAAATCACACTACGTGAAAGAGACAGAACAACTGAGACTCCTTGCATCACATACCTTCTGTGTTGTGTTTGTCGTCTGTGTTGATGGTTTGGTGAAAGTTATTTTCACGGGTGACATGTGGGGTGGTAAGGAGTTGGCAATGCTCTGCATGATGTTGCTCATCTTGGGACTGCCACTCACAGGCACAGTGATGGTCTTCGAGACCGGAACAACGGCCTTTGGAACTTCTTTCAGGACCACAGGAGAAGAACTCGAAGAGTTTGTTCGCCTGCGTTTTCTGGGTTTTTCATCTTCATCTGAACAGCTGACACCTGAAAGACAGTAATAGTATTTCTACTCACACAAAACTAGCATTGCCTCTTATACTTTATTCTGTAAAATGTGTCATCCTTTGCCTCTCCCTTTACTTATTTTTATTTTATGTATATTAGTGTTTTGCCTGCATAGTATGTCTGTGTGAGGGGTGGCAGATCTTGGAGTTACAGACAGTTGTGAACTGCCTAATGTGGGTACTGGTAATTGAACCTGGGTCCTCTGGAAGAGCAGACCTCTTAAGCACTGAACCATCTCTCCAGTCCCACCTCTCCCTTTCTTTTATGTCCAATCTACCACTAAAGTTCTACAATTTTCCCTCAGAAAAGTTGTCTCTCTGAACACCCACCATCTTTTCCTTAAACTACCACTCCATTCGGAGATTGTCTCCTGCTTGGATTTTATCAATACCCTCCTAAAAGACACTCTTGCATCTTCCCACTTCTATTCCATACTGTCTATGCTACGGCAAGTCAGGAAATTTCATAACTGAGATGCACAGCCTAAAATCCCCTAAGTCTGTATTTCCCTATCCTCCCAAAATACCTACCAGACCAAAATTCAAGAGCCCCTATCTTTTCAGACACAAAAAAAACATTACCCTAACTCTGTGCTCCTCTAAAATCTTGAGCAACTAATTTTCTCACCATTGCCCAAAAATGCTTCAGCACCTTCTTATCTGAGTCTGTATATTGTATTTTTCTTTGAAGAACACCACCAGCCTCAAAGACCCCTTCTTCATCCTGCTATCATCATCCAGTAAGCCCCCTTCTCAGTGAAGCCTCCCCTTCCTCAATGCAGAGCTAATCCACCTCTCCTCTGAGCAGAAGTCCATAAGGTACTTTATACATCCTGTTCTGTACCACTTAGCACATGACAATATAACTGTCTACACATCTCCCATATTAATGAGCTCTCAGACAAGAAGGACAAAGTCTGTTTTGTCTCCCTTGGTTTAGTGACTTGCACAAAGTTGGTGAATGAATGATAAAAACTACTAATGATAAAGTTCTTGTAATTTGAAAGTGCATTAGTTTGTGAAATAGTTTCTTCATGTTTCAGATTCATTAAGAGTAGTTTTAAAAAGTGGTTTTAAAAATTAGGCCCAGAGAGTCATTCCTAAAGACCACATTGGTTAAATCTACAGAAACCTGAGATGAACTTAACAGTCCATGATTCTTGGCATTTTTATAGCCTAAAAACCTCAATTCTTTTGTAGATTTTATAAAATTCATCTGACAAATATATAAAGCAACGTACATAGGAAATTTCTACAGAGCATACATAAGAATTATATAGCATGACTCACAGAATTGAAAATAAAATATAAGTCTTTAGAGCTTCAATTTTTAGACTCTATACTGTTTGTTGTTCGAATCTTAGATGTTCTTTTAATAAAAAACTCAGAGCCAGATATCAGGGTGAAAGCTGAAAGATCAGAGAAGCAGAGCAGCCAGCCACTAGTTCTTTCCTCTACAAAATCCTCAGCCCAAAGGGAGTAAGTCTCTGTTTCCTCATGCCTTATATCCCCTTCTCTGCCCTTCCATATTACTTCCTGGGATTAAAGGTGTGTGTGCTTCCCAAGCAAAGGCATGAGATCTCAAGTGCTGGGATTAAAGGTGTGTGCCACCACCACCTGGCTCTGTTTTCTCTCCTATACTGAATCAATCTCAGTAGCCCAGTGTAGCCTTGAACTCAGAGATCCAAATGGATTTCTGCCTCCTGAATGATAGGATTAAAGGTGTGTGCTATCACTGCCTGACCTCTATGTCTAATCTAGTGGCTGGCTCTGTCGTCTGATCCTCAGGCAAGTTTATTAGGGTACACAATGTACCACCACACTATACAGGACTGGCAATGACCTAGAAGCCTAAAAAAGACAAATGTCACCTCTAAAATCTATAAGGAAATCAAGTTATTACTATATTGAGACCAATTAAAATCAAATACTAGTGATAAAAAGCAAAGCAAACAAAACACAAAACAATTTTTGAAATAAAATTAAGAGACATTGATGAAAAAACCTGGGCATCAAACTGTATTGTAGAGCCAGGTATGGGAGCACAGCAGTGACCCCAGCACTTGAGAGGCTGAAGCTAAAGGATCACAAGTGTGAGGCCAGCCTGGGCTACACAGTGAGATTCTGTCTCAAAAAAGACTATTATTTAGAGCCGAGTAGAATTGGGAGTTTAAAACTACAAATAAAAAACTTTTTTAAAGACTATATCAAGTAGAAACATAAAAGGTAGCCTCTAGAATAAGTTACTGAATGTAAGAGCTGGATGATACATGGAATAATTCAAGAAAACACTGCAAAGACTGGAATTCTGGGAAAACATTGACTAGTCACATAAGCACAGTTCCATAGGAATCAAAAGATGTGAATGCCTAAAGGACAGCAATATGCAAAGGCAGATTTCCCACAGAGCAAAACATGATGGCATTTCTCAAACCCAGAACTGACGAAAGAGCAAATACCTAGTCAGATAGACAGATAAGAAGTCTTCAGAACCTTCAAAACCTAACCACTGAAAACAGCTTGTGGCCCGATGATTGATTCCAGAAAAGCAGATCTAATCAAAGCTCAGACTGTAGCATTTTGTTGAGAGGGCCTGGTAACACTGAGACATCACTTACTTTTGACATATACAGTACTTCCACTTGGCAAGACAACTACATTGGAGGCAGGACTGGCAGGTCTTGGAGACTTAACCGTTGCTACGCTGCCACTTGGAACAGGGGTAGAGGTTGGGGTTGACGTGGTACTTGTGTAGGAATAGCAAACCACTACTGAAGGAATGATATAAAAAAAAAAAGTTTGCTGTTAACTTTCACCACAACTGTCCAGACATACAATTACTTTTATTGCAGGCCAACTTTATCCTTTTCATGTGATCAGAAGCTAGATGCTAGCACAAGGTACTAGACTCAAGGGTTAGAAACTATTTTGAAAATCACTCAATGGGTCTTCCCAAGTATTTACCAGCTTAGCAACAGGTAACAGTGAATGGAGAAGAATGGAGGTACAAAGCAATCAAGTTTAAAACTATTTTGAAAAAAAGAAAAAACCTTTCTCATAAGGCAAGAACTGGACAACAGGCACAAACCTGAAGTACTCTTTAATACCAATAGCAGCACCAACAATATTAACTTTCCCCTAACCATAGCAATTTTCAAAGCACTTACTGGAGAAACTAACTCTTCGGTCATTTGCCAACCAAGTGGGACAACACTAACTAAAATAATGATGACATCAAATTTCAACCTCTTTATCTTTCAATGAAAGGACACCACTCAGGAACACTAAGAACAGCCTGGAGTTACCCTGTACCTAGTGCCAGATACTACACTCAATCTTTTCCACCATCACCAACTCTCACACTACATTCCCCTTAAAGATGAGGAGTCCATAGTTTACAGACAGTAAGACTTGCTGAAGGTCACAAAGCTAGGAAATGACAAACTTAGATTCAAACACCTATTTTATTATTAGAAACCCAACTCTCTTCCCATTCTATCAGCTAGCAAAAGGAAAAGGTCAAAGTGGGAAGAGAGGAAATATAACTGCCAACAATGAAGGAAACAGGAACCCAGCAGAGGCTAAGTTTGCACAGATAATTTCTTCCCTGAAAAAACATAGCTTTCTTTGGCAGAGCCAAGCCCAGCCAAGAGTGAAAACTGTTTCACTCTATGCAAAGCCCACCACTAGACAAGACAAAGCAATTTCTTAAAAGTAATCGGGCAAACACATTGTCTTTAGAGTTGCTTTTGATCCAAGCATACTCTCAGATTTCATATCACCTTGGTAAGAGAATTCAAAGATTGTCTAAAGCATGTCAATTACTAGCTTAAGTGACAGTAAGAAAGTACCATTGACTGGAACAGAGAGGCTACATGTACCACTGATTCGAAGAGACAAAAACAGTTTTATTTCCTGGAGCCATCAGTTCAGCATCTTTTATCCAGCAAGTATTTCTGTCATCTTGTTTATTCTCTAATGCCATTCACTAAGTCCTTCCACTCACCTTTAACAAGAGACACTCACAAGGCATGGTAGCTCATGTTTGTAACCTCAGCAGTAGGGAGGCTGAGATGAAAGGACTACCTCAACCTGGGTCCAGCCTGGGCTACAATGTTTTGTTTGGTCTTAAAACCAAACCGAAACAAACAAAATAAGACAAATGTCAGAAATTCCATCTGAGAAAACTTTTTCAGTGATTAACATAATTTTCCCTTTGAAGTAAAGAAATCTGATTTGATGGAGACTGAAAACCTGGCAGTTTCTAGTTTCAGAATGAAAAACATTTTTAAGCATTTACTAAAAATAGATGAAAAGTCCTGAGAAGAATTATCTCTAACAACAGCATTCCTACTCACCTTCTTTGCTTGCTGTCTCTGCAGGCACGGGAAGGGATGCATTGTGCTGGACAGCTGCGTTGGCCACAGCATTTGCTGTTACGGTGAAGGCAGTCTGGGGAACCAGCCGGGGCATCAGTGGTACCAATCTACGCCCTTCAATGGACCATTCTGAAGAGCTATTAGGTCCAGACATACTAAACAAAAGAGAAAATGCTGCTACAAGGGTTTGCACTTGCTAAACATGAGTCAAACAAACATAACTTTTTAAATGACAAAAAGTACCCTGAATTCTGGAGAGGCTTCATTTTAAGCAAGCAAGATCAAACTTAGGTACAATTAAATTCAAGAAATGCCACACACTGAGGTTCTTACACACTTTATTCTGTAATCTGAGTAACTACAACTCAAAATTTTTTCTATGCTTTGAAAATAAAAATGGGTATTATTTTTGTGAAATTGGGTTTCATAAATGAAAACAAGTATTTCTACTAATAAAATTAACTTTTAGAACTTAATTTTATAATTACACCAAGAAAGTAAAAGCACTGACAGTGTTAAGAGTCAGACTTTCCTTTACAGTTAAAGGTGAAGCCCAATGAATCTTTGCAAAATTTCTAACTGCCTGCATGGCCAGAGATTCTAAAGGCTTTCAAACATGGAAAACTGAGGCAGTAAACGAGAGGAGTTAGTAAGATGGAAAGCAGTGTATACAACAGCAGGTGCCACTAATAATATGCACTGTATTTTTATATTCTTACCCTTCCTGTTTAAAAAATAATAAAAAATAAAAAAAGCAGAACTGCAGACGCTAAAAGAAATCCACCACTCTTTTACTTTATTTGTATGGTGTGCCCTGTACTCTAGAAGGCACTGAGGCACCTGGACCTTCTCTCTCTAAGACATTTTTTAAGTCTCTCTGCTTTAAACTTCTTGAGTAAGTTTTGTTCCAGAAACTGGACCAGAGGTTAAAATAGCAAAAGGCAGCTGCTATATCTCTCACTTGGCTTCATGAAACACCCTAATGATTAGTGTCAAGGTTTAAAATTAATGTAGAAACAACTAATTTTCTTCACTAAATCAGAAATATTTCTTCAAGTTTTGTGAAACCACAGATTCTACAGCACAGCCTAAACGAGACTCTATATCCAATATTCTTCAGATTCAAGCAAAGTAACCCAAACCCTTTGTCAGTGGGCAGTGGAATAATGCCATAATGGTGATGACGGTGATGTTGACAGTGACGGTGTCGTTAAACTCAACTAAGGGCATGTTACATATCAGACACTGCTCTACATGTCTTAAAATGTGTGTTAACTCGGTTCTCTCAGCAATCCGATGACGCTGATAGTAGATCAACTCCATTTTCTAGAATGAGAAACTGAGTCACAGAAAGGCTAAATAACTTGCCTAAGGCTACACAACTAATAAATGTCTCCTTCAACAAGTATATATCATGCTTCTATAATTATTTGTCATATTCTAAACACAAAGAATAAAAGTCTTCTAGTGGGCTTTATGAGCAGCTTATTCTTTATACCAATTGAGCAATTACTGTCTAATTACTGCCAACTTTTGCTGCAGGGAATAAATTACAACTTAAAAGGTATTTAAAACAGACGTGACGACACATGCCTGTAGCCTTTAATTCCAGCACTCCCTTGGCAAAAGCAAGTAAACTGAGTTCAAGGTTAGCCTGGTTTACTTAATCAAGTCCAGGCCAGCCAAGGCTACATGAGACCCTATCTCAAAACACCGGAAGGAAACAAAACAAAACATTGTCTCAAAAAAGGAAGGAAGGAACCAATGAAGGAAGAAACGAGAACGGAGAAAAGGATTTAAGTTGAAGAATTTATAGAAGCTGGCAAATCCAGTTAGGTTACTGCAAAAACTATACTAAACTCTTTTGCAATTTAAGCAGTCCTACATAAGATAAGGAATGGTGGACTTCCTGAGGCCCCAACAACCTCACAAATATATTACATAAGCTCTATGTTAACACTACTTCAGAAACAAAGAATAATACAAACAAGAAAAAGATAGAAGAGCATTATTACTAGTTGTTAAATGTAAACTTTCCCAAAGCTAGCATTTTCTGTAATAGCACTTCTATTCTGATATCATTTTATTAGACTATCACTAATAAACTTGTTTAATATGAGTTTACCACACAAATAAAGTGCCTTCTACACTTACCTTGTGTATTGTTTAAATGGTGGCAGAAATTATGGAAGATTAAGAATATGAAGCACATGGACATATGCTATGGAAGAGACAAAGCTTGCAGTGCAAAAAGACAACAACTGCAACTTTCAGGAAGAACTTATCTAAGTCTTCCAAATGTCCACTCATGCAAGCATGCTCAAACAGTAAGTGAATGAGAAATGAAATAACATGTTAGAATTAGGTTAAAAGGTTCTATTTGCTTAGTGATAAGGTTGTAAATATGTGTTAGCTGCACAAGTCATCTAAGAGAATTTAGAAATTAAACATTGTACCTGAGGGTTCACACAGGTCCCCTCAGTTTGTACACTTGCCTGCCTCTCTACTCATCCAAGGACCACAAGGAAGGTGCAAATCCTGCTCTGAGAAAGCCACCTACTAATGAGCTACAGTTGGCAGCGGTTAAGAAAGCGGCATCGTCACACAGAAACACAGTATCCTGGGAATGTCTGACAGTTGGCAGAAGCACAGAGATCTGATATTCCAAACTATCATTTTAATCTAATTGTAGAGACAAAGAGTGGCCTAAGCAAACCATGTGAAGCATTAATATTATTGTACCTAAGAACTCAATTATGCTATCAAAGGACAAACACCATCCCAGTCAAGCCGTGAAGCAGAAGGTCTTTAGTTCAGTGCGGTTTCTCTTGCATTCAGGACCCTTACTCCTTCTGTTCCCCTCCTTTCCTGCTAAGTCTTCTCAGCCGCCCATCACCTTTCAAGTACATTCCTTCGGGGCTACACAGCAATTTCAAGTGGGAGAGGGAGGGAGGAGGAGAGGGAATGCAGTCAGCTCAGATGCATTCCTCTAGCTGTATTTACAGGTCGTCTTTGGGTCTCCACTGCTATATCCAATGGCAAGAAAGTGTTACTAACAATCCTCATTCCCTGACTCTTAGGCTCAACAAGTAAATGCAGTATCTAGTCAAACTAAAACCACAATATAAAACATTAAAATCTGAGTACAGAAAGACCTAAGAAGGTTTTTTTTTAATTATATACTAAAGTAAACTTTTCCAAAAACGAAATTCATATATTAAAGAAATCAGAAAAAAAGAGAGGGGCGGAGAAACAAAGGTGGAAAGAAGCCAACTCTCAATTATCCATGCTAATAGAGAGAGGAAGGAAAGGGAGAGGTCAAACAGGTTAAAGAAATCCACATATTATCCAAAAGTCATTTTAGCAAGTACCAGTAAATTCTTGCACCAATTATTTTTCAGGCCAACTAACAAGTAGTAAAATGAGTTATAAAAATTTTCACCTCCTCTCCCTTCCCACCCTCTGACTAGAGATATTCCCAAGCAGCAAAAATGGCTAAAGGTCGGGCAGTATTAGGAAGGTGAGGAGGGAAAAGAAGGAGAAGCAAGGGGCATGGTTAATTCATAAATGGAGTATGTGCCCCTGAATAATTGAGAGCGTCATTTTGGAAATAAATACAAGAAAAAGCCTGAAATAATAATAACCTATTTGCATACCTGTAACTTGGTCTTTCACCCAAATATAAGGATAAATTCATTCTTAAAAGGGGAAAAAAGGAAAAGGAGACTAAATAAATGTTATCCTTGAAGAATGACACTGATGCATCAACTTACAACTCATTGCCCACAATCCCATTTGAATGCATCTAAGGTATTCATTGCTACTTGATTATCTAGCACAGTTTCCTATTACCAGTTCCCAAATTAGAATTCAGACCCAGTTTAAAGCATTCCAATTCAAAAGTCTGAAGCAAATTCAAAAAGAAAAAGGGACGCATTAAATTTGAGTGTTCCAACTATGTTAGCCTGACAACTAAACACGAGCTGTCTCTATAGAGAATGTCTAAATTTCTACAATGCATACCTACCACGAAAGAAATCTCAGACTTACAGAACAAACAGCAAAACATTCAAACTACACTGTTAAAGAGGTGAGTACCCCATTCTATGTGTTAAGTAAAATGAGGGACAGTGAAGTACAAGAAGCCAACAGAGCTGTGTAATCAATTCAAATTCTGCCAAATGCCTTATATTATCACATTATGGTAATGCGCTGAGTTCTTTCTCCTTTAGTTTTACGTCATATTAAAACATAAAAATTAAAACAAAAGGATTACACTTTAACATTTTATGAAATAATTCTATTATCACTGAAAGGATTACTTTCTGTTCTTCAGGAGGCACTATCTCTCTGTAACTAATGGTTGATTCTGCTCAGTCCTCTGACACCCTCTACCCAATCCGTCAGTTATGACGATCTGAAAACAAATTGATAAGAAACCTTTATAATTTTATTGTTTGCTTTTTAAAATATATAATTAAGTTATATTTATATCTCTTAAGAGAACATATATTTTATAATTTTTTTGAATCTCAAAATATCTGAAATTAAAGCCATATAAAAATTGTAATGCCTGTTTATAAAGCATCATACATATCAAGTACCATTACAAGAAACCTCCGAGTACCTTTGAATGTCAGGAGGCATGCTACTTGGTATTGAGCTCTGCTTCCAGTGGCCTTAGATTATACAGAGATTACCTTGTAATAGGATTTGACCTAAGTACTTTAAGCTTCCCTAACAAAACGCAAAACAAAAAAACGAAAAGTATCAATGGAGTAAACAGTAATCACTACAGGCAGGGTTTCTGAGTATAGAGAGACTATTATGATAAAAGACTCAGGGACCTGCCACACAAAAGGAAGACTGTCTCAAAACTACTTTATACTACATCATTTAAAAAAATCAGGGGTGGTAGACTAATGGCTTACTTATGTGCAATTGTTGTTAACCGTTCATCGTTTACTGCTCTCCGAACTTCAGCACGGTGGCGTTCTGTTGAGATGCTATGAAAAAAAATAGCCATTATAGAACTCTGCCAAGCAGGCAGCTCTTCTCTACACTTTTATTAATGTTTAAGTCAACATCTTTTGGAGGCTGAGGATTACTTTGCCTAATGTGTATCTTCAAATGTTTCAAAATCACAGGAAAGGTTTCATGCTGATTCTGTGTAACTGAGGATTACTTATCTGAAAATCTCAGGAAGACAAACTCAGCCTGATATGCAAATTTTCCCATCTGTGAAACAGTCGGCCATGGTAAGACTAGCAGTGCTTCCTGTTAACTAGACATGGTGCTCAAGGACCTCCTTATCTCATGACTGCTGACAGGAGGACTGGGCACTTAGAAGAAAGTCTTCTAAGGTCTTTTCTAAGGCTTACGAGTCTAATAATTCTATATTCAATGAATATAATAAAAGCAGTAAGAGTGGCAAAATAACGTGTTTCTTGAGAGTACATGCAATGAAATGTCACTCAACTTCAGCTACATGCCTTCTACATTATGTTACCAATGGTAAGAATGTGCATATATTAAACATTGATAAATGAAACCATTTTTAAAGATTACATTCATTATATTCATAAATATCCAACACAGTGAATACCACTCTTCTTGTATTCTTTAGCACTTAACACTAAATTTATAGCATAAACCACAACACTTAAGGACTAAAAGCAGAATTTATGAGGAAACATAAACAAAAACATATGACTGAGAATCTGCTTAATTACATTCCTATATTAATGTTAAACAGTAAGAGACTCTCCACGTTCTCACTTCTAAAAATAGAACAAAATGACTTTAAATGTAGAAAGTAAACAAATTAAAACAGAGAAAGCACAAGATATGAAAATGAATCAAGACAAAGCGCCAAGGAATCCTTTCACTAGAGCTGTCCAATGGATTGAAGTGGCACTCTAGCTCAGGAAAAGGAGTCGACTAGAGTTAAGGCAACGACTTTATCACCAGCACCCACTTACATGTTGAGGATCCGGCTTACATCCCTCTTTCCCCTCTAACAAATGTCACTCTACATCCTGAAATTCAGTTGCACAAGCTCTTCTTTCTTTCACCTGTCAAAGGACCTCCCGCTCCAGGTGCCCAAACCCTCTGATTGGCTTATATGACAGAGAGAGACTAAGTGTCCCCGTCTTCTATAGCAGAAAGCACACAACTGGAACAGGGCCTCTAAGCACCCAGCAAACCGAACACCTCTGTCCTTTAATTTGAGAATTAAAATAAATAAACACCCATAAAATGAGATTTTTTTATTCACATCACCAAAACTTTCATGACAAATTACCTAAGGACTTTTGAGAGTTCTCCAAGAAGATCTTTCTTTTCCTTGGTGAGATCCCCCTGTGCACGAAGTGCACTGATAACTCCAGCATATGCCTCCAATTCTAGAAAAAGAAAATTATTTTATCAAGATAAGACTTCAATTTTGAATAATGTGGCCATGCAATATTAAACTTTAGGGCAAGAAATCCAAAAATAAACCAAATGCAAAATTTTAAATTCCTTTCAAAAATGTTATCAAATAAAAAGATTTAAGTGTCACTTTCATCATTTATATGGTTTTGTTATACAATGTCTCACAGAAGTCAAGGGTATAAAATGCTTAGAAAAGAAAATCTAAAGAACAGGTAATCCAGCCAGGTATGGTGGCCACACCTTTCTTTAATCTAAGATCTTTACATCTACAAAAACTACCATCCAAGCAATTAAAACATAAAACCTACCATCAAAATGACTAATTTGTCTGGGTACAGTGGTACATGCCTATAATTCCAGCACTTACAAGGCTGAGGCAGAGAAATGGAGAGTTCGAAGACAGCCTAGGATATTAGCAAGACACTAATTCAAAGAGATACAGGCAAGAGAGATGACTCATGCTTGGGATAGATGTATTGGCACTTGAGTTTAATCCCCAAAATCCATTTTAAAAAAGAAAAAAAGGAAAGAAAAAGAGAAAAGAAAATGAAAAGCAGATATGGTAGTACATAGTTGTCATCCCAGTGTTGAGGGAAGCAGATATAGGAGGATCCCCCAGGCTTGCAGGCCATTAAGCCAGCCTAGCCTACTGAACAAGTTCTAAGTGAAAGACCTTACTTTAAAAAATTTTTCTTTAATTTAAAAAAAAAAAAGAATTAGGTGGATGATGCCTGAGGAACAACATTTGAGGTTATTCTGTTTTCCACATGCATGTGCAGGAAAATATAAATATGCACACATGCACATGTACACACAAATATACAAACACACAAGTCAGACATGATAACACATGCCTGTAGTCCCAGTACTCAGAAGGTGAAGTGGGAAGATCATAAGTTTGAGAGGCTAACTTAGGCCAAACTAGACCCTGTCTCAAAAAATAACAACAAAAAAAAAACAAAAACAAAAACAAAACAGAACAAAAAAGCCAAAGTATACATATAAATCAAAAGTCCTCAAGCCCTCCCAGCAAAATATGCAGGCCTCTCACCACCACCCAGCGTGATCTCTGTGTAGTCTTTGCACATCACCTCTAGGTTCTGTGCTACTTTTGGCTAATGGTATATAAGCAAATAGGATGTAGATACTTGCTAAGTACTTGTACTTGTGGCCTTGCTCTCTAGGAATCATAACATCAACAAGCTGTGAAGAAACCCAGAAAGAATGGCCAGCGAGAGAGAGGCTCAGCCACTTCAGCTATACCTAGTCCCCTGCTAAGCTTCTGACTGGGGCTACAGGAGAGGTCAGACAACACCAACAAAAAAGAGGATGGAACAAAGTAATAAAACATTGGGTTTTTAGCCATTAACACTATGAAAAGGAGGCACCAGAGCAAACCAGAATGGTGGAAACAAATGTTCACATTAGAAGTATCTTCATGCTCACATTGTTAAAATATTTGCTATCTGCCCAACAGAAACTCAGTAAATGTGGGTTAACTAATGATAGATGTAGGCCTGCAGACTCAAAACTAACCAATAAGTAAACAGTAGTTTCACTCTGTTCATAGTATTCACAATTCTGTCAAAAGGCGGCATTAGAGGATAAAGAGAGTTAAAGAGCATTTGCTACTCTTCCAGAAGACATGGGTTCAAATACCAACACCCACATAGTGACTCAGAACCATCTGTAACTCCAGTTCCCTAGAATCCAACACCCTCTTCTGGCTTCCCCAGTCACCATACACACACATGGTGCACAAACATACACGCAGGCAAAACATATACATACAAAATAAAAATATATCTTTTTTTAAAGGAAGCCTTATATGGAGGAATGGACTGAGTAAACGAAGCAGAAATGTCTAGTTCCACTGAAATACCCTGAGTGTGAGCATCCTGCATGTTGCGTATGTACTGCATATTATGTAGACACCTCATGGAGTGTCTGTCAAAAGACAAAGCTCTGCTTCTCCAAAGGCAAAAAGCAAATATTAAGTTCCAAGAAATACATTTCAGCTCTGACCAGAGCTGAAAGAGATTACAAAAAAGGAATAACCAGCCGAAAATTCACTATATTAAATGTTTATGCCCCATTAAAATATTCATGGACTGTTCTATTCAACAAATCAATGTTGAGTCCTAATACATATACACTGAAGAGTGTCAAGTCCTGCCCTCAAGTCTTTAACTATAAAATACGAACAGGTCAAAAAGTCACCAGACAATGACGACAGTTTGCACACAATGGTAAAGGCAAAGGAAAAAACACGTCATCTGGTTGGAAAACACAAGTTCTCCTCAGGAAGAGACCTATCCCTGTGGAGAGTCAGGGGACGGACTTCTACGAAAGGAATAGAGAGCAAAAGCGCTGGAGATGCTTCACGTTACTTCAGTAAACTCCAGTAACAATAACTACTTTTAAAAGTTTTACATTAAAGGAAGTAAACTTGTCTGTAGTTGAACAGTCACTAATTCAAACCAAATTACTAAAAGAATATTGTAAGAGAGAGTACTAGGGGAAATATTTAAATATTTGTACGTATAAAACAAAGTCCCTATCCTCAAGATGATTAGATCAAAGTCTAAAAAGGGTATGTGTGTGTCAGGTACATGACTGGTAAATAAACAGACAAATTGTCATGAAGGTTTTACCTCACACATGTCAGAAAACAGGGAAAAAGGGAGACAGAAGTCATCTGTGGTTAGACTAAGCAAATCCTTTAATCCCAACTTAAAGAGTTATTTGATAGAACTCAGTAACTGATTATTGAAATGACAGAAGAAAATGAGAAATATTCTAGATTTTGCAAAATATTTAAGACAACAATGCCATAAAAAGAAACAGACCAGAGGGAGAAAAAAGACAAAAACACCATTTCCATTTCAGGTTTTATTGTTTGTTTTTGAGACAGTCTTGTATGTGTAGCTCAGACTAGCTTTAAATCCTGATCCTTTTGCCTCCACCTCCTTAGTGCCAGGATTACAGACATGTGCTGCCATGCCTTATTTAAAAACACACTGTTTCAAGAAAACATAATTAACTGAAGAAATAGAGCTGGCAAGATGTCCTAGTAGGTAAATGACTTGCTAATAAGCCTGACGACCTGAGTTCAATCCCTGGGACCCACATAGTGGAAGGAGAAAACTTGATTCCTGAAAGCTGTAGCCCGACCTCCACACATACTCCAGAGCATATATGCAAGCTCTTTTGTAGACACACACACACACATCACACACACACACACACACGTAAAGTAAAAACAAAATTTACTTAAAATGTAATATATAATTTTTTTCTTTTTAGACTGGATCTTACCAAGTAGCCCTGGCTGACCTGGAAATCACTATGTAGACTAGGCTGGCCTTGAACTCAGAAAACCACCTGCCTCTGCCTCTTGAGTGCTGGGATTAAAGACAGATGTCATACCTGGCTAAAAATGCAATAAAATCTTTTAATATGACAAAATTTCTGACATTACAAGTTTCATTTGAAGCTAAACTAAAAAGTCATGCACAAAATTGGGAGGTGGAAATATCCAACACACAGAACTGTGGCTCTGAAAACACTACCTCAGCTACCCAATTCCCAGCATCCCTGTAAGTAGTCCAGTCACCATCAGAACCTTTACTAACTTCCAAGCTTCTTTCATATTTGTTGACAAGCATGTTTATAGGGATCCTGAGATATCTTAAAGTTGGTTTAGTTTCTGGTGCTATTTTATTATACGGCTAATTCCAGTAGCAAAAAAATATAATGAAGCTGGGCAATGGAGGTGTATGCCTCTAATCCCAGCACTTGGGAGGCAGAGGCAGGTAGATCTCTGAGTTCAAGGCTAGCCTGGTCTACAGAGAGAGTTCCAGGACAGCCAGAGGTATATAGTGAGACTCTGTCTTGAAAAACAAAACAAAACAAAAAAAGTATAATGAAATAATAAATACATGTGAATGCCTCACAAACAAAAGATGTGCCACCCTACTTTTATAAAACCCTAAACCAGGTCCATTTAAACCATTATGTCACTCAATTATACTTTAGTCATAAAGCTCCCAAGTCAGTTAAGTTACAACTCAAGAATTATAAAAATAAGGCGAAAGAGAGGCAGTCAAAAAGTAGCAAGCATTTACCTGCTACTGGTGCCATGAATGTATCATAAATGTCTAGCCCAATTTCTTTTTTTTTAAATGTGTATGAATATTTTGCTTATATGCATATATGTCTGTCTATGTACCATGTGTGTGCCTGATGCCAGAGGAACACGGATTTCCCAGAAATGGAGTTACATACGGTTAAGAGCTGCTATGTGGATGCTGGGAACCGAACCCTCTACAAGAGTAGCCAGTGCTCCCAACTGCTGAGCCATGTCTCCAGTGCCCCCTGCCCCAGTTTCTTGATAATTAAAATGTTTGGCATCCTCCATTGAAACAATTTACTGCTGTTTCTAAAAGGACAAAGTTTTAAGCTAACAACACTTTTTAAAAATTTTTGTGTTTGTGGTGTGTATGGGGGGAGGGGCGGGGGAGGGACAGAGAAAGAGAGAATATGCCATGTGAGTGCAGGTGCCCAAAGAGGCAAGAAGAGGGCATGAGATCTTTGGAGCTAGAGTTGTAAGTACTTGTGCGCAGCCTGCTATCACGGCTGACAGGACTGCTTGAGCTCTCTCCAGCCCTTAAACTAAAAACTCTTAAAGACGGTATGTATCTCCTCTAGACTTAGGCCTGGAATTAGTGTTTGAAAGCAAGTCAAAGGTTCACTGTCATGACAGCAACTCGGTGGGAGGAAGAAATCTTTCGTCAAACTGATGTCAAGGTCCACTTTCCTAAGGACCACGGGAGAGGGCTGCTTTCGTTAGTACAGAAGCAGCACCCCAGCAGCATCTCCCACACAGTTTCCTTAAAACTACCGACACATTCATTGCTACTTATTTTTTACTTTTACTTGAATTGTCTTTTAATGCTGAATTGTTTACTGCCCCCTGAGCCTATGTCTTCGGTTTCTTCTGGGATATATATATTTTTTTTTCCTGTGCAACCTCTTCTTCTAGCTTAAGAACAACCTGATCCTCTTCAGTGATGATCATTCTGACATGGCAAGGGGAGTCCCCAAAATAGGTCAATCTGACCCCCTAAGCTCTGGAAGTCCACTGGCACATCTTGGGTGATTGGTTCACTGGATATACTCAGTAATTGAGAATCTACATGTAAATTCAAGAGTTAAGCATTACTCTCTGCATTTTAAATGTACAGAAAACATTCTCTTTGAGCTGCTGATGCTGTGACTGGACCCACTATTTGGCCTGGCCATACATGTTAGCCCCATCATGGTAACAAATCAATAGTACACATTGCTTTTATAAAGTGGCATCTTCCTGATAACTGGTAACTTCCCAGACATGTATAACCTTGATGGCATGGGTAATTTCATGGGTATTCATTCTTGAATACCAAAACTTTAACCTCTTGATGTGCATTTTATAGGGTTTTATCATCAAGCCATTTTCATACATCACCCCAAGTCATTTATGGGAAAAACTAGGGGTAAACTTAAAAGTTACTACTTTATATTTAAACCCAAACCCTTGACTCAAGGCCCTTAAAACCCAGAAACCTCAGTCCAATTTACTGTTCTTGTGATCTGTTCATCTAGCATGTTTTTAATTCTGAAAGAAATGGAGTTCAGCAGGACGGGGGCAGCGCACACCTTTTATCCCAGCACTTGGGAGGCAGAGCCAGGTGGACCTCTGTGAGTTCGAGATCAGCCTGGTCTACAGAGCAAGATCCAAGAAGGGCAGCAAAACTACACAGAGAAACCCTGTCTTGAAAAACCAAAAGAAAAAAAAAAAAAAAAGAAGAAATGGAGTTTAATTTATAACCAACAGCAAGTTACATTAGTGCATGTCTATAGCCAAGTACCTCCAAAATAGTGACAAAAGTTTACATATAAGTTTAAAAGATTGCCCCCACCCCCCAAAAAAGAACCCTCTTCAAACTTCTAAAACAAGGTTAAGTAGTTTGAAACCCTCAGGGGGGGAAGGGGAAAGGAAAAAAAAAGGCAGACATTATAGCACTAGGTCCACAGTAGATACAACTTTATCTGAGCTACATATAGAAATCACAACAAAGATTTCCTCTGATGGAAAACTTCAGTGACCTACAAATATGTCTGAAAGTAGCTGCTTAAACACTATATTCTCAGATGTCAATCACAATGACAGGCTTTTTATTTAATTAATCATCACTGCTCCTTTTCAAATTATTCTGTCACTTATTTCACTTAATGCACTAGCCTCAGGCTACAGTGGTGGTAAATAAGACAAGGCCCTTATAGTCTATAATAGCATTTTTCATGGATTTTCACTTTAAACCAACGATTCAAATGATTAGAGTAACTCTTTTATCTCAATATTCCCAAGAATGGCATGTGACTAATACCATTTTTCACACATAAGGAAAAAGTTAGTTCACTATAAAAAACACATGCCTTAGCCTTAGGGCTTGCTTCTCTCCCTAAATGCTCGTTGAAAAGGGCTGCTATAAATGGAAAAAGAAAAACATTAAATAATCAACTTTAAGCATAATGTGTGTTTTGTCAATTACAATAATTAATTGGGAAAACAGGCAGCTTGCATAAACTTAGAATCCAGAAAAGGTATGACTCACACATACACATCTATTAAAGTTAGTAGTGTGCTAATATGAGACCAAAAACAAAAACCAAAACCAAAAATACTGCCTAGAGCAGTATCTTTCAACTTGTGGGTCTCGACCCCTTTTGGGGTCAAACAACCCTTTCACAGGGGTTGCCTACGATCACTGGAAAACACAGAATCATATTCACATTACGATTCACAACAGTAGCAAAAATACAGTTATGAAGTAGCAACAAAAATAATTTTATGGTTGGGGGGGTCACCATGACATGGGGAATTGTATTAAAGGGTCACAGCATTAGGAAGGTTGAGAACCACTGGCCTATAGTCAAATATTGACTACATAACTTCCTATGAGTATTACCTTAGGTTTAAACTTCATATGTAAAATGGGGACCCAAACAAAATGAAGATCTATTGGGGCTTGACTATTATGTGAGATGCTGACTTTAATAATACACAACGGGGGGGCTGGAGAGATGGCTCAGTGGTTAAGAGCATGACTGCGCCTCCAGAGGACCTGGGTTCAATTCCCAGCACCCACATGACAGCTCATAGCTGTCTGTAACTCCAAGATCTGACACCCTCACACGGACATTCATGAAGGCAAAACACCAATGCAAATAAAATAAAAATAAATTAATTTTTTAAAAAAGAACCCACAATGGCCAGGCTTCCCATTTATCATAGCTCCTTGTATCATAATTCCTGTATCTCACTTACAAATCATTCTAGGCCCTGGGAAAACGGTGAGAAAGCTGAGGACCATGCATGCTACCAACAGCCATGACCCACACAGAAAATGAAAAGGGTTACAGAAAAATATAAAATAACAAAAATAAAACCATTAGGTAGGCATGTCAGAGCACAGCTGTGGTACAAGCACTTGGGAAGCTGAGGCAGGAGAAAGCCATTTTGAAGACAGTCTGCGCTACACAGTGAGACCCTGCTCAGAACAAAAACAACAAAATTCATACCCAATTTTCGGAGAATCCGTTTGCATTCATCCCTGCTGAGATCCAGAAGGGTTGGCCACACAACAGGCATTGCTGCTTCTGCTTGGTAGCCCCAAAGAGCTTGTCCTCCCTATCAGAAGAAAAACAAATCAAATTACCAAAGTATATGCAAAAGGCCACTCACTTGGAGCTCCATCCACAGGCTACGAAGTAAAACTGAAAAAAATACCTCACAACCTTCTTTCATCACTGTGCTTGCCAGTTTCTGACAAATAGTCAAACCACCATCTGAGCACACTGATTCAGCTCAGATTAACAGTTGAAAACCACGGGGTTTAGAGTCAAACACTTGGTTCCAGTTCCAGCTTTACAACATAATTAGTTGTTTCATCCTGGTGAACTGGCCTGTCTGAACCCTATTTGTACACGTTTATGGAAAAAAAAAAAAAAGTAATCCCACCCGGTTTGGTGTTAGTATTAGAAAACAGGGCATGTCAAGTTCTTTCATAGTGGCTGGCATAGAACTTGCCAAATAGATTGTGCCACCTGTGCAACCTTGGACCAGTGTCCAGTTTCCTTAATAATAAGTTATGAGATAAAATAAGCAAAAGGTAGAGCATGTTTTGGGGGTAAATGGAACTTAATAAAGAACTCTTCTCAAGTTTTGGTAGTAAAATAGTCAGGAATCCACAAGTTACCCAAAGTTTAGATGCCTGGAATTTCGCACTGAGAATTCCCTAATCTGGAGGACAATAGGACACAGAACCGGTAGCTCACACATTACTGGCTGAGCACACAGTAGACCTTCCTTGAACATCTGTTAAACTGATAAATGGATTGTTAGCACGAGAGGAGGGTGAATGAATGAATGAGCCAGCTTAAGAGTCCAACACTAAACCGATATAACTCTTCTATTGCGTTCCAGGCTCTGGGCTGCTAACTCCAACTCTTAAGCCTCAAGTGGAGCCCCCTTCCCCCTATTTCCCATCGTCCTCCGAGCTCAGAACCAACCCTGAGCCAGCCAAACTGGACGGCGCGCCCCAGCTGGCAGGATGACATAAAGAAAGGGGGTGGAGAGGAGGAAGGGGCAGAGCCAAAGGAATCCGTTCGCTCCCCAAACCAGTCCCCGCCTCCCGATAGGCTCTCGGCGGCGGCCGGCGACCGCCCGAATCAGGCACCACGTCACGGCATCCCAAAGCATCCCCTCTAGCGGAGCCCACGGCGGGGCCGCACAGCGAGGGAAAGCCGGGCGGCCAGAGCGCGCCCCGGGGAGCGGGGAGTCAGCGACTCCGCGCCCCGCGCCAGTGTCAGCGGGCGGCCCGCCCCGCCCCCTCTCCAAACACGCACTCCCTCACCGCACCACAACACGAGCAGCCCGCCCGGCTCCCCGCCTGCGCGCCTCAGCGCCGGTCCCAATGTCAAGCCCGCGCCCCCGGGGCCAGCAGCGGCTCTCGGGAACCTTGGTCAGCGTCCGCGCCTCGCGCTCTCCGCAGTGCCGAGGACAACGGAGAGAAAGCAGGGATGCGGACAGCCAGCCAGACGGTCCGGATTCGCCCTGGGGTTCCCAGACCTCGACCTCCGGTGTCCCATCACCAGGCGCGCCGGAGTCCCCCTCGGTCCACTTGAGGGAGCCCCACGATCCCGTTAGGAAACAACGGAGGATGGGGCTGACCGCCCCAAGCCGGGCTCCCAGTGACTGGCTCAGCGCCCCCGTGCCCTGGATAGCCTGCCAGCTCTTCCCAGGACCCCGCCTAAGAGACACCCACCTGCCCGGCCTTTCGGGGCTCATCTAAAAGGCTCCTCCGCCAAGACTAGGGGACACCAGGAATTAGGTTTGTTTGCGGTGCCTCAGAAGGGGCAAGATGGCGACAGATACCAGAGCGCAGGCGCAAGCGCGCGCGGCTCGTCGGGAGGTGTAGTTCGCCTTTCCCGCCTTTTGAGAAACGAGCACTCAAAAGCCTCCATTCGCCCCGTCGTCCTTTTTCCACCGCGGTCCGAAAGAAAGGGACGGGCGTCGCGGGGCCTACTGGGAGTTGTAGTCCGAGCTCAAACTCCGTCCTCTTTCTGTCGCGGCTTGCCGGTCGCGTACGCAAGGAAGTCTGGGAGTGTAGTTCCTTTTGGCTTCTACATTACCCTCCGGTCTCTAGCTTCGCGCGCCTCTCCTCCCGGCCTTTCCCAGCCAATCGGCTGCTCTTTCAGCTAAACGTGTGGCGTCACACGTACCGGCCAAAATGGCGTCGGTGATTGGACCTGGGCTTCGACCTTCACTCTATCGAGGGTAGGGGTGAAAAGAACCCCAGCTTGGTCCCTGATGAACGGTTGAGGATTAAGGTCCAGTTTCTCAGACTCTTTGGAGCAATCATCAGCGTCCTTCCACCACCAAGACGACACCTCAAGAGAAATTATTTACGCTACGAGAACTGAGAGAGAGGACCTCACAGTGGCCCGTACCCCCTTCTTGGTGTTGAGAGTTGCAAGTCGAAGAAGGGAATCCGAGCGTTCTCGGCTTGGGGTTACGCCATGTGCAAAATAGAAAAGATAGCGATATCTTGTGCTCTATCTGCCAAAGGGAAGAAGGGATTTACTTGAGGCACTACGACATGGTAGGTTCGCGTTCTGCCTTTGTTATTATTTAACCACACCATGTTGTGGAAGTCTTGTCCCCCGTTTTACAGATGGAAAGAGGCCCAATATATTGTTACAACGATCCGAAAAATCAAAGTTAGTTTCTAGTATGGTAAATTCCATCAAATTGTGTAGTGTCCTCCCTCCAAATGTAGAACTCTGGTAACATCGGATGCAATGAAAGTGCACAAATCTAAAGGAATTGTTAGTATGCATCTTGCTGTTAGCAAATTTCCTTGAAAACTAGGGTTACCACTGGAAGGACATCTAGCTCAGTGGTAGGTTGCATGTAGAGTATGCGCAAGACCCGTATCTCTGAATTTGATTCCTAGCACGAAGCGGGCGAGGGGAGTGACGACAAAAACTACTCTGGGAAATATTCAGATACACAACGTGAATGAAAGTTCTTTTCCTAAATGGGTCGCTATGAATTACATTTGTAATCCCAGCACTGGGAAAGTGGAAGAAGGAAGATCGGGAGTTCAAACTCAGCCTGGACTGCAAGAGGCCCTGTGACCAAAACCGTTTTGGGTTTTGTTGTTGTTATTTTGTGGTTTTGTTTTTAATAAATTGTGGACCACTGCATGAATGTGAGTCTTTTCGTTCTCTTGAATGGAGATGTAGGTTAGTCAGGAATAAAAAGGACCATTTAAATTTCCTACACGCCTCTCCTGATCTTCCTGTGTACACTGTGAGGTCAGTTGCTTAAGAATACCTTATAAAGTAGTAAATTAAATATTAATAGGAGACTTTGTAATTTAACAGACATTTCTTTGATTTGACCCTTGCAGCATCTCCACCAGGCGGGTGTAATTAACTTGCCCATCCTGTGAATGGGAAGGCACAGCTGTTCAGGAACTGGTACACCAAGGGCTACATAGTAGTACCCTGTCTCAAAAGGCAGTAACAAACGGCTGGAGAGATGGCTCAGTATTTCAGAGCACTGGCCTCTTCCAGAGGAGCTGGGTTTCATTCCCAGCATCCATGAGGTAGCTCACAACCATATATAATCCAGGAGTTCCTCAGGTGCTGCACAGATGTAGTCCACAACACGAATATAGTGTCACAACATGAATGTAGTGCACAGACATGCAGGCAAAACACCCATATGCAGAAAATAAATTCTTAAAAAGGCAACAAAAACCTAACTCTTGGCCAGCTGGTGATGGCACACACCTTTGATCCCAGCACTTGGGAGGCAGAGGCAGATGGTTCTCTGAGTTTGAACTGGTCTATAGAACTAGTTCCAGGACAGCCAAGGCTGTTACATAGTGAAGCCCTGTCTCAAAAAAACAGACAAACAAACCTGACTTTTATGATAAGTCAAATATGCGTAACAACGGTTGGAGTTAATCCTCCATCTTTTACATAAGTCCTTACAATTACTAACTATATCCCTAGTTAAAAATAAGTCCCTGATACAGGTTTAAAAGCAGGACCCACATAAGTAAATGACAAAGCAAGGTTTTAAATTTAGCAGCCTGGGCTGTCGAGAAGGTTCAGCAAGTAAAGACACTTGCTTTGCAAGCCTGGTGACCTGGATGCAATCTTCAGAAGCCACTCATGTGATAGTGGAGAACTATCTTCACAAAACTTTCCTCTGACTTCCAGCATGTATACACACCAATGCGAGAAGCTTTATTTGTTATAAATTTGGGCAGCTTGGATCCAGCGTCTACACCTTCAGCCAATGGTAGTCCTCAAGCTTAATGTTCAGCAAGAATGCATGCAAGTCCTGGCAAAATGCCAAATTCCTGGTTGTCTAGTTAGGGCCAGATCCTGGTTCTAACAAACTCCCAAGTAACAATGCTAGTGCTCATACCATCTTACATCTTCCCCCTTTTTCCTTTCATTCATTGGTGTTTTGTTGTTGTTTTAGAGACAAGATCTCACCATGTATTCTAGGCTGGCCTCAAACTTGAGATCCTCCTGCCTCAGCCTCCTGAGTGCTAGGATCACAAGTCTGTGCCACTGTGCCTAGCTCTTAAACATATTGATTTTGTAGCTAAGGCTGGAATAGCCTCTCTATGTTATCTCTGACTGCTTTGTATTTCCAAATGTTCCCAGTGTCTTTTCTCTTAAGGATCATATTTAAACTACCCTTCTCCCTTACATCTCGTGAAACTTACTCTGGCCCTACCAGTCTCTCTAGCATGAGATAGACACTCCCATGTCCTGACACTTATGTTACAGAGCTCAAAACATAGAGTTATGGTTATTTGAAATTCCTAGCTACAACAAACTCTTTATGGAAAGGGAGCCTAGCACATAATAAAATAATAACTAAAATATATTCGCAGCTTTCTCTATTTCAGGTGCTGTTCCGTATGTTAGCTTCCTTAATCCATACTATAACCTGATATTAACTGCATTAGTCATAGTTCTCTATAGGAACAAAACTGATAGAATAAATACATACATACATACATACATACATACATGCGTACATATATGGAATTTACTGGAGTGGCTTATAGGCTGTAGTCCAACTAGTCCAACAACGGCTGTCTTCCAACAGAAGGTCCAAGAATCTAGTAGTTGTTCAGTCCATGAGATTGGGTATCTCAGCTGGTCTTGAGTACACACTGGAATCCTGAGCAAGTAGGCTCTGTGCCAGTGAGGGAATAGACTTGCCAGAAAGAGCAAGTAAAGCAAAGACAGCAAGCTTCCTTCTTCCGTGTCCTTCCTACGGGCGGCCAGCGGAATACGTGGCTCAGATTAAAGATGGATCTACTCACCTCAGATGATCCAGATGAAAAGTAAATCTTCCCACTTCCAACAATTCAGTTAAGGAAAAAAAAATCCCTCACGGATATACCCAGCCACTTGGGTTTTAGTTAATTCCAGATGTAGTCAAGTTGACAACCAAGACTAGCCATCACAGTAGCCATGTTTTAGTGGATGAAAATAAAACAAGGCACAGGTTAAATACCATGCATAAGATAACAGATTAATAAAGGAGCAAAGCTATGATTTCAAATGGATTAACTTCTGAAGGAGAAGACTTCCCCTGCTAGACCTTAAGGATCACAATCACCTAGTCTGGGAGAGTGCTTAGGAGTAGATAGAATAAATGCCTTAACTATTCCTTGTTTATCTAAGCAGCTAAGTATTAAAACTGATTTCTTCAAGGTAAGAGGATTGTCATGGGGCTAGAGAGATAGCTCATTGGTTTAGAGCATTTGTCGTTCTTGCAGAGGACCAGGGTTCCATCCCCAACACCTACATGGTGGCTCACAGTGTCCATAACTCCAGTTCCAGGGGATCTGACACCCTTTTCTGACCTCCTGGTTCACATACATGCACATAGGCGAAACACTCATACACATAAATTAATCTAAAATGGGGGGGCTGTTTTTAATTATGGGTGTGTGTGTGTGTGTGTGTGTGTGTGTGTGTGTGTATTTATGCACATGACTACAGTGCTGATGGAGGTCAACAGAGGGCATGGAGCCCCTTGGAGCTGGAGTTACACCTAAGTGTAAACTGCGGGATATGGAGCGCGGGAACTGAACTCTGATTCTCTAGGAGATCAGTCAACACTCTTAACTGCTGAGCCATCTCTCCAACCCCAATTGGCTCACTTCTACATTTAAGGAAGAAAGGAGTCCAAAGAAGTAATGGAATGGAAGTCTTAGGAGGCTTTTAGATCAGGGGTGGCCTTCCTGGCTACAGTTCTTTCCACTGTACTACGCTGCTCTTAGATTCTTGCCTTGAGAAGTTTGCCACTCTGATGTAGCCAAGGGATGTACTGAAAACTGGACTATCAGCTAAAACCAAATAAGTAAACTATGAAATAATAGATCAAGATAGTGGATTTAGGGACAAAAAAGAGTGCCAACAAGTAATTGATCATTAGAATTAACATTCCTGGAATCAAATAGCATCCAAAAGAGCTTGAACAATCTAGAGTGGCTCCAGAAAGGACAGTAAGACATCTGGCCACTACCTCAACTTCAGCCATTCACCCTCAGTACTTTCTGCTTCCTGAATAGCTAGCTTCCTTGGTTTTGGTGGTGGTGGTGGTTTGTTTGTTTTCTTTCTTCCTTCCTTCCTTCCTTCCTTCCTTCCTTCCTTCCTTCCTTCCTTCCTTCCTTTCTCTCTCTCTCTCTCTCTCTCTCTTTCTTTCTTTCTCTCTCTCTCTTTCTTTCTCTCTCTTTCTTTTTCTCTTTCTTTCTTTCTCTCTTTCTCTCTCTCTCTCTTTCTTTCCTTCTTTCTCTCTTTCTCTCTTTCTTTCTCTTTCTCTCTTTCTTTCTCTCTTTCTCTCTCTTTCTTTCTCTCTCTTTCTCTCTCTTTCTCTCTTTCTCTCTCTCTTTCTTTCTCTCTCTCTCTCTCTCTCTCTCTCTCTCTCTCTCTCTTTCTTTTTTTTTTTTTTTGAGACAGGATCTACCTGTGTAGACCTGACTGTCCTCACTCTGTAGACCATGCTGGCCTCACACTCAGAGATCTGCCTGCCTCTGCCTCTGGAGAGCACCTCTGTGGAATAGGTTTGGGTTTTTTGGTTTTTGGTTTTGGTTTTTGGTTT